AAAAAAATCTTTGAAGAATATATTCCTCAGATTAAAATAACTTTAGGACGTCGTACCTGGAGATACTACCATTTAACTATAAATATAATTGCAACTATAATAAAATTCCATTTAGGAAAGACCATCGTAGACCGCATCATCGCTTACCACCAGGCGAGATATTGGTCAAACTTCGGCCCATCAAATATAAAAAAGCCCTACCCAATGGTGCATCATATGTTATGTGGCTATTGAGGGGTTGGCCCTGACTCCATACATTTGGTTCGTATTGTCTTGCTCAAACGCAAGGTAGCTCGCAGGACGATCTCCGGCCACCGTAAGCGCGGGCCTGCGGACCGCGAGCATGGGTGGCTCCCCGTCCGACCAGAAATAGACCCGAGCGTACGGCGCGTCGCGTTATGCGCGCTTTTCAAAGAGCCATCAAACCACCACAGAGGGTTAGGGCCCAACAAGGCTGATGCCGATTCGGAGTCGCGGAGAACCTAACGGGTTACCGGGGCTCCGGCTCGACTTGCAGGAGAGAAGGAACGGGATGGTTTTTAGTCAGTAAGAGTCTGAAACTCCCTCTCGCCTCACCTAGGCGGGATCAGTCATTCGATGATTTTCCTTAAAAAAAAAACGCAGGGTGGCCACAATTTTGTCCCCCGTCCACCATCGAAGGCCAATTTATCATAGTCTCGCTTCCAATCTTCACAATACAATGTGATTTTGTTCAGATTGACCAGTATAAACTGGTTGTTAAGTCTACGGGATGATCATACAAAACTCAGACCATGAGTTAGCGGCCAGGCGATAAGGGCAACTTGAAGTTAAGCTTCTCCTCTGCAAGACCCCCAAGAAAGTTCCAAAGCGTTTTTTAAGAAACGCAATCACTTTTTTCACTATAAATCATCAATTTATATGAAAGGTCATCATTTCATCACACACCTAACAAGTACAGCTCCGGCATGGCTATAACCTGGCATTTAAGTCATTTAGATATAAACTTTAAATCGTATGTAGTATGTTTTTATAATAACTATCGTGAGACATACTAAATTAAGTAAAAACGCGGGTTACTCACGTGAATATACTGAGAAAAGCTCTACTAGTTTCGAACCACAGAGGGGTTCTTCCTCATGAGCAGCGTGCGCGGTCGCGGCGACGTCGCGCAGCTCACTGTTCGAAACTAGCGCGTTGGGCTCGCAGCGCAGGTGGCAACACCGAGGCGAGCGCCAACGCCAGCCAGTGAGCTGCGCGACGTCGCCGCGACCGCGCACGCTGCTCATGAGGAAGAACCCCTCTGTGGTTCGAAACTAGTAGAGCTTTTCTCAGTATATTCACGTGAGTAACCCGCGTTTTTACTTAATTTCGTATGTAGTATGACATATTTCATAACGTCAATATAAAAGCTATAAGCGCGGTGCCTGCACGACGATGGCGCTTATGCCCGGGCCACACCAACGAGAAATGCAATTGCTTATCGCGATAATGCATGTTCACCGTAAGTGTAGCCACGAGTCAACGCGTTAATTTGACCACGGCATTCACATTGCCGTTTGGCATGATGGGTATTTACGTTGAAATTTCAAGTGTAGCCACCCACTTTATCGCGTTAAATTATCGCAATAATAATCGTAGTAAACATCGCGATAATCGGCATTGACTTTGACGTTAGTGTGGCCCCGGCATAACGACCTTCTTGTATTGTTTCCAAAGGGAAAAAACCCGTGCTTAGGCCGTGCTGAACTCGTTCTTGTTAAGTTAATAATGGCTTGTTATGTAAGAATATAGTTGTATCTGTGTACTTATGTTAACCTCTCCAAAGATTTTAAAGTATTACGTTATTCGATCGGAGTGAGGTCGTGGTGGCCCAAAGGCTTAAGACGCCCGCGCTTCTCATGCATGAGAGTGCTGATCTGAAACTTACCAACGGCAAGTAGTAATGTGACTTTATCCGAGTTACATGTGCTTTCTAAGATTTCTAAGACACCACTGACATAGGTTGAAGTAAAACATCGTGAGGAAATTAATTAATGCTCAAACCTTTTTTGGTGCAAGCAGGGTCTTTCGTCAGCAGTGGCCACTTATATTAAGCTTAGGCTTAGGCCATGGTTGTGTAATGTGGCGTTGTTTGGTAAATCTCTAATTGATCCATATTCTTTTTAAACTGTCAAACACCAAGCGGTCACCGGTGACCGCAACCTATTGTTCTATAATTGTGTCTACAAAACCGGTACTCGACGAGTTAATTGTCCACTATAACATAACATCACGCCTTTTATCCCCGAAGGGGTAGGCAGAGGTGCACATTATGCCACTGTACAATGTAACACCCACTTTTCACTATTTATGTTATGAGTCCCATGTAATAGGGGGGGTGAGCCTATTGCCATAAACCGGGCACAATCCCAGACTCCGTGCTATTACTGAGATTGTTTTAAAAACCCAGTAATACTTTGCCCGACCCGGGAATCGAACCCGAGACCCCTTGCCCGGCAGTCGCACTTGCGACCACTCGGCCAACGAGGCAGTCTGTATAATTGTCCACTATGTTGTGATCAAAGCTAGATGTTATGTTTTCAGTCAAAAGCTGTATAATATGAATATTTGTAACATACTGTTATCTCCTTTGCAGTTTTCATAAACCATTTCGCAGAATGATTTAAATGTCTTCTTTAAATTAATGTCGACTGAGCAAATTTCCGTGTTATTCCTATAAAAAACAGATCGCTAAATTAGTTGTTTGGGGTTGTAGAAATGTAACTTCTAACTAGGAATTTTTGTCTTTGTCATGAGTACATTTAGGAATACTTTCAACTTTTATGTTTAGATAAGAAATTAAGACGCGTTGAATGATAGAAAGGTTTAATTTTAAACTTTAAATAAATTTAACACATAACGTCACGCATTTTATCCTCGGAGGGGTTTTTTTAAGGGGGTAGGCAGAGGTGAACATAACGGCACCTAATGCCACTATACAATGTAACATCCACTTTTAACCATTTATGTTACGAGTTCCATGTAATAGGGGCTGAGCCTATTGCTACATACCGGGCACAGTTGTAGACTTCAGTATTACTGTATGTAGTGTTACTGAGAATTAGTTAAAAAACCCAGTAATACTTTGTCCGACCCGGGAATCGAACCCGAGACCCCTTACCTGGCAGTCGCACTTGGGGATACTCGGCTAACGAGGCAGTCATGGGTGATGTACAAATTATTTTTCTGACTGTAGTTACTGTTATAATAAGTATTCGAAAATTACGTTACAACACATATGTAAATCCTACAATAGGAAATAAAATGTCTTACCGTTCCCTCTCAAAGGTCATACATAAACTATAGGAATTCAAACACTCTTCGAAAATTAGTTCTTGGTCAGATTTGTTTCTGAAAAGGTCTTCCATATCTGGGGGTAAAGTCCTTTCATCATAACAGTTGTACCGAGAAGGCTCCCACACTACTGCTGACGCTGAAAACTTTAGATAGTTATTTGCAACCTACATTTACGAGAATAATCGAATTACAAGAACGCTAGAGACTTAGAGACACTTAAATAAACAAGCCAAAAGTACCAACACTTTACCAATACTATTTTATAAACTGCATTTTAAAAAACCGACTTCAACCTCCTATTTTTTGAAGTCTGTTTATTATTAATAAACCTAAAACTTTGTCCTAAGTGTAGCAAGCACTTTTCCAAAAACTACATCAAAATTGGTTCAGCCGATCGTGAGATAATGACGCCCTAACATACACATATTACAGTTCAAACTTATAACCTTCTGTTTAAAATTTGGTTAAAAAAGACAGAAACAGTATCTTGTTGCTCTTTCTCTTACTCGGATTGAAATTTCACAGTGAATCGAGAACCTAAACTCAAAATTGAAATTTAATCACTACATACTATAAAACAAAGTCGCTATCCGTCGTCTGTCGGTCCCTATGTATGTATATCTTTAAAACTACGCAACGGATTTTGATGCGGTTTTTTAATAGACAGAGCGTTTGTAAAGTACCTACATTATTTTTGCACGTCGATGTTGAAGGCAAAATAAGAGGTCCTAAGTTATTAGACCTTATTTACGCAAATAAATACTTTTTGAATTTGAATTCTTAAGGAAGGTTTATAATTATGTATAATCAATGCATGCACCCGTGGGAAGCCGGGGCGGGTCGCTAGTAAACAATAACAATAATAATAAGCCCGCAGGGCACCTTGAGGCGAGGTGACGGGCATTAGCGATCCCGCGGGCTATCATCATCCCGAGTGCTCCAGGGAGAAGTCACCTTTCCTTCTTCTCCGGCTTGCCTTAATTGGCTGGCTGGAGTGAACGATGACAAGGAACAGGTCTCCCACCTCTGGCTTGCCTTCATTGGCCGTCCAGAGTGGAGTCGCGAGAGCAGTGATCCTGCTCGGAGGGTAAGAAACTATTCGTAAGTCGCGAGTGGGCCAGGGATGCAGGAAGCTTCGGCTTGAGCAGATGATCTGAGTAGAAAGCGGTGGTAGTTTCTTAACCCTTCAGCCACTCACATTCTCGTTGCCCCTCTGTTGCTATATCTGGCAACCATTCCCGGGGCCCGGTCGGTGAGTTGGCGAGTCACCTGCCATTTTTACGTGTAAAAATTACATTGTTTCGGCAGGTGCCATAGTCATCCATAGTTCCCAATTTACCAGTCCACAGCAACCCACCCATAGCCCTACCTTTTTTTTCCATTATCCCCAATAGTCCTACACTAACCGGGGACTGTACTTGGGTGCATTTCCATAGTGCATACAGGGATAGTCGCCGGTTTGTGTGTCCATTACATTTAGATTAAAGTTGTCTAAAGGGCCTCTGCGCAGTTGACTTCGGCCCCTCGTACGCCTCCCAAATGACCGGGACCTTGTGGTCCCGTGAATGGTAAAGACTAATATAATAAGTTTATTTCAGACTCTACATGATATGTCCATAGGTTTGTTAGTAATGGTGTGTTAGTAACAAAGAGTTCTTAAATAATTAGGTTAGTATTAAGAGTAGTATTAGTAGTATTATACAATAAGAGGGAACACCTCTGTTAAAAACACTCATAAAGTCACTGGTAAGGAGGACTCTATTTGCACAGGGAATTATCTACAAATTGTTGTTCTGTATCTGGGTGTGACAATCAAGAGAAAATATCGCAGCGGGACAATGTTTCAGGAAACTTCTGAGCAACGAATGGATATAATGTGTTTTGCTATTTAAGAAAAAAAGGGTCTCAGTATGACTTGTATTTATAGTACGTATATAATGTATGCATACATGTATATTTTTTAAACTTTGCCCTACACTTGGATTTTGTCGCGGAGAACCTAACGGGTTGCCGGGGCTTCGGCTCGACGTGCAGGAGAAGGAACGGGGCGTACATTTTATACGTAGAAATGACGTTTAGCCCCACTCCTAAACTTTGATTTGTTTTATATAAGTATTGTTTTATTATACGGCAAAATAAAAAAATACGCGTCTAATATTTTTTCATTACCTAACTTACGGACTAATTAGATTTTTCATTTTCATACCCTGTCATCATTCCAATCATTTGAAGAATACACACATATACATACCTATAACTACACAAATCAGTTTCGCAATCATATTCACATCTCGTATACGTACAATACACGAATATGAAGCTGTATACTCAATTGTAGGTATAATCGAAAACCAATCAAAATTAATGAGTCATTAATTTCCTTTAATGATGTTAGATTTTAATAGGTAGTGGAATAAATTGATTGGAATTGTAATGCCACTTGAAATGAAAAAGTAAGTAACATTAATTTGTCATATTTTTTGTGTAAAGGTGATCCCTCACAAGGAGCATTCACGTGTAACGTATCGTCACAGATCAGGGGGCTTACTCTTGAATCCAATTCCGATCGATCGACATTGGTATTGCGAAATTTCGTACTCTTAGAGTTGCAGCACTAGCGCCCATTGCATCCGTATTGCGTGGATATATAATGAACTAAATGGTATTGAGTTTGGCCTTGTATTCCGTACTCTGGATGCTATTGTAACAGCTATGATAAGGGTTGCATAGTTTTGATATTGAATTATTATTGAGATTTTATTGGATTGAAATTGCATTGATATTGAGATTGGTTTCAAGACTAAGCATCCTGAGCATTACATCAGTGATGGAGGAGAACCGAGCATTACAATGTGCACCTTGTAATGATACAATGTGTAATATCTTGATACAACTTGTAACATCTATGTCTGATGTCTTGCTATGAAATGCTTAAAAGTCGAATCTCATATGTTACATTACAAGCAAATGCTCGTTAGTCAGGGAGGTATGGTAACGTATGTAATACTCAAAGTCGAATCTATAATGTTACATTACACGTGAATGGTCCTTCACCTTAATGCACACATGTGCAAACTCATTAAGGTGTTCCCTCACGAGTATGTACTCTAACAGTATGGTCAAAAATGTTTAAAACTCGAACGCTTGTCGATTCGCAAATATGGCTGAAATTAGCATGCTAATTTTGAGCAAGATTTCGACATCTAAGTGACAAGAGCTCAATTGAAACATGTGCTTGAAATTCGCATCTGTAACATCCCCTTCTGAGAGTTTGTATTCTAGTTCGGTATTCTGTACGGTTTAGATTTCATTTATATAGATGTGGAGAACCATGCTTCGGTACGAATGGGCTGGCTCGACCGGAGTGATTCCACGGCCTTACACGAGACCGACATGAAACAACGCTTGCGTTGTATTTCGTCGTGTGAATGAGGTTACCGGACGCCCAATAAACCAAACAATCCTCAAATTCCTAATCCCAAAAGGCTGGTAGTGCACTTGTAACGCCTCTGGTGTTCCAGGTGTCCATGGGCGACGCGGATTGCTTACCATCAGGTGATCCGTCTGCTTATTTACCAATTTATCCCATTAAACAAAAAAAAAGATTATAGATGCTAGAATCGTCTCTGGTGAATGATTTTACCTTTTATTTAAGGTGCTGATAACATAACTGGTAAGTTAAATTACTACTAAGTATTCATACTTCATAGATTTTTTTGCACTGTCACTTCAAAAGAAAACGTGACTTGGTAGCATGTTTTTGGCAATCAGGTATTTATTATTATTTCTTTTTCCTCAACATCTAAGTTCATATCGTTCCCAACTTTTTATTTCAGACACCAAGACCTTTTTCTGATTACGTTCCTCAGTTTTTTCACAAAGAATTTCCTGAGTCACGTTGAACGCCTTGTAGATATGTGTGTCACACACAGCTGACACTCAATTTCCGAAGATTACCCAAAACACAAAAGATCGTCTGTTTTTCAAAGAAATAATAGAAACGACCGAATAATATATTTATTTTCGTTAACGATTTATTATAGAAAAAGAATTCTTATAACTACACAATCGAAATAAGGCTTCGTATCAAATATTAGTACTCTACGTTTTGGGCTCATGAAAACGTATAGTGCAATATTATTTTTTAAGTAAGAATAATACAGTATATCTACAGATATTTACAGGAGAAATTATCAACTAACAACTCGAACATAAAGGAACTTTGTACACCGTTAAGATTAATAAATTGACACTAGAGTTCTTAAATGCTTTGCATTTCAACACTTATAGGTTCCTGCTATTTACAACAAGCCTTTAGTCAGAAAATCTGAGAGCATTGTGACGTCTTCGTGTTCGCGGTGACAGTGTGCTCCAACTGCGCGAGTGCCGTCAGCTCCGTGTCCATCTTCCGACTCTTTATCCTCGTGTTCTTGGTCAGCTGTCTCTTTTTACAGCAACAAAGTATTTCTTCAAATTCTTTACGGAAGTTGTCGTTCAGCCACCCGTACAGTAAGGGATTCGATACTGCACTGGACATCCCGAACATATGACAGACGGCGTATGTTATTGTCATCGTTTTCTCCTCCATAAAAGGCTCGGCACTTAAGTCTGCTACGAGATTGAACACGTTTAATGGCAGCCAGCTTATGACGTATGTCACGGCGATGGCTATTAATATGGCTGGAGTTTTCCTCGTGGTCCGCCGTCTTCCTCTAAGTCTTCTATGAATTTGGACATGTGCAAGAACTACGACTAAGACGGGGAGTAGGTATTGGAAGATAAGACTGAAGCCAGAGTAGATGGCTCGTCCGTTTTTGATGTGCCAGTCTTCTATGCAGAAACTGAGAGAATCCATGCCTATGAGACCGAGGTAGTGGGTCTTGAGGCTCCGGAAGATGTAGAGAGGTGAGGCGAGAGTGAAAGCGATCACCCAGATGCAGAACATTGTGACGAGGGCGCCCATCGTCTGAAGGCCTGGTCTCGTTGGGTACACGATCAGCTGTTGACAAAGAGAAAAGTCGTTGATGACATTGTAGAAAAAGCTTTAAAACTTTACAGTCATGGATGTTAGAACCAGGTGGAATAATATTGTCTGTAGTTATTGCAGATTCCATATTGAAAAACTACTTTCATTCACTAATTGAGTCATGACTTTAACTACCATTAATATGTATAAATCAATTTGATTTTCCCTAATCATAAAATCACAAAACCTACATAATATGGTTTTACAAACAAATTCCTATAGAACTCTGAGATTGAGATAAAAATATAACGGATTATGATAATTTCAACTTAGAAACAGGATTTCCAGATATCCAAATGATATAATACATACATCTTACGACCATATTATCAGTGTCCAAAGATTGATTGTAGGCTTAACTTTTTTGATTTCAACATTATTACATCATATTTTTGGCGATAAAAATTGTATTTCACAATCTTGGTATGTCGAGTGGAGATGCGACTGTACGGGGTTCCAGTTTCGATGCGAACTACGTAATTGCAATTTCTTTGTTACCTTTTTTTTCAGTTTGTTGATAGATAGTAAATGTAACCTCTTTACATTAGTTTTGTTAGGAAATCTAGTTTATAGTTACACTATATTCGCCTTGCTTGATCTACAAATATTAATGCTATATTAATATTTTATAATCAATTTGAATTGAATCAATACAAAGGAATAAAAGTTATTTGAAGTCAATAGAATAGAATATTTGCTATGAATGTAGGTACAAATTATTAAGGTGTTACAAAATTTTACGGTTCTTTGTACATTCTATCTTAATTGGCATGCAAATATACATTTTATAAGAATTGACTAGAACTTATCGTCCAAGAACTCTTGTACTGAATAATAACACTTGTTCAATAGTAATTCTAGTCAAGAAAGTCAATTTGAAAATCAAGGTCATATGAAATTAAAATTTAAACATAACATAACATTACGCCTTTTATCCCCTTAGGGGTAAACACATGCACATTACGGCACTTAATACCACTGTACAATGTAACACCCACTTTTTACTATTTATGTTGTGAGTCCCAATAATAGGGGGTGAGCCTATTGCCATATACCGGGCACAATTCCAGACTCCGTGCTACTACTGACATTTTTTTAAAAACCTAGTGATATTTTGCCCGACCCGGGAATCGAAATCGAGACCCCTTGATCGACAATCGCACTTGCGGCCGACGAGGCTGTCAAATTTAAAAACATCACAAATAGGTATGTATTCACTTAAAAACGTACTGAATGTTATATAGGTACAAATATGGTTTATAGAAATCTAGACAATCAAGTGCTGTTATCAATGCAGTGTTAGGACTCAGTTCATTACTTTCCTCTCATAACAGATAACATTATTGATAAGGTTTGTTCACGAGAAATCAATATACTCGAACTGAACAGATGTTTCAGTTTGTCTAGTCTAGATAATTCTGAATAATATTATGATTCAGGTTAATACAATATAATAGTACCTATATACACTGTTCTTGTAGAATAGGAGGCAAACGAGCAGACGGATCACCTGATGGTAAGCGATCAGCGCCTATGGACATTGAATCATAAGATAAATTATTAGGGAGTACCTTGACTCTGGCTCCTTTTATCATAAATCGAGACCCTAATTTAGACTAACTCCAACCTAATCACCAGCTTCAGATTGTTGCCTATTGGCATGTAGAGGTATACATAAACTCAATTAAATATAATAGTACTTATACATCATTTTTGTATTAATATCTGTATTTTTATTTTATTTATTTCTATATAATTTGTATTTGTATGTTTTTTTTCTTTCTTTAACATAACATAACATAACATCACGCCTTTTATCCCCGAAGGGGTAGGCAGAGGTGCACATTATGCCACTGTACAATGTAACACCCACTTTTCACTATTTGTGTTATGAGTCCCATGTAATAGGGGGTGAGCCTATTGCCATATACCGGGCACAATTCCAGACTCCGTGCTACTACTGAGAATTCTGTAAAAACCCAGTAATACTTTGCCCGACCCGGGAATCGAACCCGAGACCCCTTGCCCGGCAATCGCAACGAGGCAGTCTAGTTCTTTCTTTCTTTTTCCTATATAGCGATAATTTAAATTAAATATGTTTTTAATGGTTTAAATCTGGTCCCATTAAGAACGAAAGCCTTAATGCATATATTCACATTATGTGCCTACTAAAAGGGAATGAACATAAGATAAATAAATCCATTTTGTATTCAAATGTCCACAGCACACACAACACTTCTTTCAAAGAAAATAGACTTTGTATACGTGGCAAAAAGTGGGTCACTCTAAACCACACTAGTTAATAGCTCTGCTTACCTCCTTTGGGGAAACAGCGTGATTGTATGAGGTTAATTATGAAACCACAGCTCATATTAGGACCCTCGAGAGTCATAACTAGCACAGTCGCAATTTGACCAATGATAATTTCGTATTTACGGTAAATAGTAAACATGTTGAAGTATATTGATCCCTCATTGAGTGTCCGTTCTTTATAAATATAGGTCAACGTATACTGGATAATGTATCATATTATTATGTACACGAAAATCATAAATAATAAACTGTCAAGTTGTAGTAAATGTGATTGCTGAACACGGGATCTTAGGTTTCGTTGGGTGGATTAGAAGAATGTTCTAAGAAATTCGGTTGTTCAAAAGTTTGTTTGATGTGCTCTCGACCTAACGGATTGATTTATTGGTGTTTCCCTTAACTCATCAACACAGTTCACACTCGACTCCCGATTGTGATAATGGATTTCCATACAAAAAATAGGCATACCTCGTCCACTTTCAACCCCTATTTCGCTAAATTATGTACCAATACAGAGTCTGACTGAACATTATATTTCCATTAATTTTATTTGGGTTGTCAATGTCTGTTCATCAATATCATAAACATCATCAACGTCTTCTCCTGCCTTCAGTGGAGGAGAGGAAGTATCAGACTCTTACCGACTAAAAACGAGGTCCCAGTAACCCGCAATTTTATCCGCAGCTCAACATTTTAGTACATGCGCATAGTATCTACCTACCTATCTAAGAAATATCAGACGTACACGAAGAAAATACAAGAATCAGACACATTACACACATAATGATCCTTTTGAAGTTTACTTAAATCCAATTACGTGTGTTTATTTTCCCTCGCGAGTGTTTGAAGAGTGAATGGATTACAAATAAAGTGATTTCTCTACATTTCATTACCATATTATATAAACCTAGGCACGTACATAATATTAAGCATTATTTTCGTTACGATTTAGACTGAAGTTCACGGACTAACATACATTATAGGATCATGGGCACTTTGATATGAAAGTTGGACGTTCAGTCAACAGAAATAAAATGACATTATAATTTTGAAAATTTTGGTCCTAACAGTTTCCTATTTATGAGTTTTAACCTATATATACGTTTGGTATGCTTCGCGAATCATAATACCCACACGTTTGACTCTTATGTGCTCGTATAGCTGTTCTCCGGCGAGCTAGCTAAAAGTCGTCACTAAGAAATAATGTATGCACAGACTACAGATCATTCACTTTCAAATGACATATATATCAACAATGTTGGTTCAATGTCCACTACGCCTATAATCATTAATATAATCGTTTAGTGTTTTTATCCCGGATTAGGCAGATACCTGATCATCAGAGTAAAAGAGAGAAATCAAGAAATACAGTTACAATGGGGGCACTGTCCAATTGGATCATTCGTCAGAAACAATGAACGGTTTTAATATTGTTGCCGCTTCGTGGATTGTTGAGGGGGGAAATCATCAAATGACTGCTCCCGCTTGGGTGAGGCGGGAGGGGGAGTGTCAGACTCTTACTGACTAAAAACCACCCCGTTTCTTCTCCTGCACGTCGAGCCGGAGCCCCGGTTACCCGTTAGGTTCTCCGCGACGATTGTTTCTAAGGCTAAGAACTCACGGTGTGATTTTCTCCCGCACCCGCTTCGGTGCCGGAATGGAAGCGAAGTTTTCATAACTCATGAGACTTCAGTTTTCTATGGTGCTACAGCCGCCGCAGTTGCGATTATCACCCGTAAACTGGGCAGTTGATTATTGCAAACCGAGCGGGCGGTTAAACAATCAGTTGAGTTTTAGACTGGCCTTCCCACTGCGATCTATATGTATATGTTCCTAAATAAATATTTTTAGTTAAGTTCCGTATATGTATACCTGTATTATACAAAGGTTGTGGGCCCACAACTGCGACGGGCGCGGGAGAAAATCGCGTGAGTCCATAGCCTTAGTAAGACGCAAGTGTTTGTCATTTGTAGGCCGTCATTTGTATTGTTTGTGAAGGATACATGCTTACGTCAAATTACGCAACGTGGACAGAAGGCCTTATTCTCAAAATAAATAAGTTTAAGATTATTTACATTCCACAAATAAATTCTCCATTCATAGTATGAGTAACGAAATTCCGATACAAGAATCCAGCAGGCTTATTTTCGCTTCTCAAACTGACCATTTAACTGTTCCCGGATCTAAAATACGTTTAAATAATATTGTTAACGGTTTACGTAAATTCGATCCAATTGGAATAGTGTTGTTTTCTCTAAGACGTCACCATCTCGTCTAGAAACCGAACGCCTAAAGATTTGTTGAAGATCAAAGATGATGTCGATTGTTTACGGTTGTAGCGTGAATGATAAATTGATTAATATGCAGAATACATTGCAGAGTAGAATAACATCCATACCATGTTGAACACACCGGTTCTCATCGGATCACCGAAGTTAAGCAACATCAAGCGCGGTCAGTACTTGGATGGGTGACAGCCTGGGAACATCGCGTGACGTTGATTTTTTGAGCTACTGTAGGCCTACGTTGGGCTTAACGGGTTGATGTGGCTCTGGCTCAAAAAGCAAGAGTTGGTAAGCGTCTGACAGTGTCAGATGGACACTAGAGAAGAACGAGAGGTTCACACTAGCGTCCCTGGGGATTAAAAATCGAGCAGAAAGGTAACCTGTCTGCTCGTTTGCCTTATATAAAATAGTGAAGCTATGGTTCTAGAATTGCCCCGGAAGGCCTAACGGGTTGCCGGAGTTTCGGTTCGAAAGAGTCGGACACTCCTCGCCTAACCCACTGCCACTGGATGACCCTCAAAAAAAGAAAACAAAAAATCGTTCTACAATTGTTTTCTATTTTAATTTTTTTTTCTTTACTTATTAATGGGTTTTATCCACATAGTACGTCAACCCTATATTTTAATATAAATAGTAACTTTAATTCACAGTTTTATGTAGAAGATAGTGAGTACAGTATTCAACTTAGTTTAAAGCTTTTCAATAAATAAAGAACATTCTCATTTTCTCTATTATAATAAACTAGATCATGTCGTCTAAGTAGGTCATTTGATTTTAAACCTAGATACTATATATTAAAGGCATGAATTCAAATACTATATGAGCTATTTTAGTCATAAAGTGTAATAATAAATCGGACTATTTATAAATCATCGTATCTAAATATAATTTTAACAAAAGTAATATGGAAGACTGCCTCGTTGGCCAAGTGGTCGCAAGTGCGAATATCAGGCAAGGGGTCTCGGGTTCGATTCCCGGGTCGGGCAAAGTATTACTGGGGTTTAAAAAAATTCTCAGTAGTAGCACGGAGTTTGGAATTGTGCCCGGTATATCTGGCAATAGGCTCACCCCCTATAAAAGTGGGTGTTAAATTGTACAGTGGCATAATGTGCACCTCTGTCTACCCCTTTGGAGATAAAAGGCGTGATGTTATGTTATGTAATATGGACGAAACGCTTCGTCGCTGAGCTCATTGAAAACTGGTGTAAAACGAAGCTTAGGTTGTGTCACCAACCCAACCCCAACCTCAGCCCTAAATCCTAATCCATATTGCTCAAACCAAAATCCCTAAAAGGCCTGCAATAAAATTTTAACTCATCTGATATTGCTAGTCCATAAGCCGATTGTTTAATATCATGTGATTTACGCAGTTGTTTACCGCCTTAGAAAAAAATAACCCAAAACAAACATAGACACAAAATAAATATAACCAACCTGATATCTGTCCAATGCAATAGCTGTAATGGATATCGTTGACACAAATATTGATATGGCTTGGATCGCGCCACACGCCTTGCAGAGGCTCGGCCAATCTGGCAGTGGCCAATGTTTGGTCAAAAGTTCCATCAAGGTCAAAGGCGTGCCGACACAACAGACCAGAGCATCGGAGACCGCCAGGTTAACGATAAACATGTTTCGGGCTGTTCTCATCACTGGTTTTCTTACTACCTGGAAAGAAAGAAAGTAATTGGTTAGAATGGGAATTTAAAATTCAAAATGGCAATTGAAAAATGACTTTGAATTTAAAGCATTAAGATAAGTTCGTTGTGATCACATACAATATTTAATAATAATTGTTTGAAGTGAAGTTGGAACCGAGATAAAAGTATGAAACAAGTGAATTTATTTCTGCAAATAGGCTACAAGGCAGCACTTTTACACGTCAATTTTATCAAGCGAACGATGAGGTCGACATTTCCTAACTGACTACTCTGAGAAGAAATGCCGAAACAAACTCAGAGGTCTGTCTCTTTTAAAGTCCAGACAAATATGTATAATAGATTATGTGTGAGAACCGTGCAAGTTCTTTCTGTAGTGGTATGATTTATTATGTCTACCGAACTATTTTGTTTTAGTAGGAAATACATTATTTATTGCATAATAACATAACATCACATTATTTATCCCCGAAGGTGTAGGCAGACGTGCATATTACGGTACTTGATGCCACTGTACAATGTAACACCTATTTTTCACTATTTATGTTGTGAGTCCCATGTAATAGTGGGTGAACTTATTGCCATATACCGGGTACAATTCCAGACTCCATGCTACAACTGATTTTTTTTAAACTAAGTAATACTTTGCCCGACCCGGAATGCAACCCGAGACCCCTTACCCCAGCAGTCGCACTTGCGATCACTCGGCAAACGAGGCAGTATTTATTAATTTTTTCTATAAAGTCTAATTTTCTTCAATATACATCAAAAAACCTATCATCAAGTTCTACATCCATTTCATAAACGATTCTTAAGCAATTTTATTACAATTTCTTTAACAAAAGAAAACTAAACAATAGAATGAATGAAAACAACGTTATCATTGTACCGACAAAATTTCTATGCCCCGTACAATATAGTTCCAAAAACTGTCAATAGGACAATTCAAACGTTCCTATCATACAATATACTGTATGAATGTCATAGATTCGATATAACATTTTCAAACCATTATCTTTGAACTACCTAAACCAAGTTTAGTATTGATTTAAAATATCGCTATATGAATGACACAATTAATGTGGTTTGTGGAACGTTACTATAGGACTAAGTTTTGTGTGTCGGACTTGTACTCGGAAGCGACCGATCACCACACCATGTAGCCTGAAGTCCTCTTTTTTATTGCATAAGGTGGTAAACAAGCCGATGGATCACCTGATGGTAAGCAATTGGCGCTGCCCATGTACACTTGGAATACCAAAGCGTTACAAGTGCGTCACCGGCCTTTTGGGAATTGGGAATTTGCGGAGGATTCGGGGATTCGGGAGACTAGGGAGGGGGGTTTCGGTAACCTCACTCACACGACGAAACACAACGCCTGCGTTACTTCACGTCGGTTTTCTATGAGGCCGTGGTATCACTCCGTTCGAGCCAGCCCATTCGTGCCGAAGTATGACTCTCTCACCCTTCCAAAACATTTTGGCATTCCCTTTTTATATAGAAGAAACTCAGACTCCAGTAGTTGACTTTTACAGGCTGCTGTGTATGTGTGAGTGCTGTATAGACATCAATACGTAGTGTTTCAGTACATTTATCAGTTGATATTTTGTTTCATGTTCTGTTCGTAGATAAATCAATATACAGTTTCAAATGCTATTTTATCAATGTCACTTAAATCCACTGATGTATTGTAATCCCTATTAATGGTCAAACCTGTCTGATTTGTACAATCAATCTTTTAAAGATAATATTTATTCTTTGTATCAGTTTTTTGTGTTGGGATATTATATTTTTAGATTGGTATTTTGGGGTAAAGATTTGAGGGTTATATTACTTTTTAACTTATAAACGAGCAGATGGTTCTCCCGATGGTAAGTAATCGGCGCTAGAGAATTTACAACTGCGTTGTCAACCCGTTTAGGGTTGGGTTTTGGAGATTGGGGATGGTGAATCTGAGATAACATATCTATGACACTGTAAAAAATGGAGTTTCATGCTCGTTCTTTTTCCATTCCATTCCCCACTATTCGAAACTACACTTTGGAACGAGAGCCTTACTTCACTGACAGACAGACGGACGGATAAATTCTATTTTTGAGTTTCAAAAGTGCCTAATTATAGGCATAATTGAAATATATACATTGACTTTGAATTTGACATTATCCACACAGCAAACTGCGGTGCTTTCTGTGGAGACACGGTATCACTCCAGTCGAGCCGGCCCATTCATGCCGAAGCATCTCCCACGGTAAAATGAAATATAAAAGTTTTAAAAATTCTCACTTATAACATGGAGTCTGGAATAAGGTCAAGTGTTTTATTTTTATATCTAACTAAATGTCAAACTTTTCCTTAATTAAGATATTAATTGCATTTTTTATGTAACAAACGAAGTTGTTCGAAACATTTTTCTTTATGGCCATTCTCTTTATTAAATTCCTTCCACATTAATATAATGCTAACAAAACAAAATGTTTTTATTATAAACATAACATTTGGGAACTACAAAATGTGATTCGTTCTGGATCATTGACGGGGCTAGATTTTTTTTTATAAAGCAATAATAAACTACCCGTAACGCCCAGTACGTTTGTACGTATTTTCTGAATTATGAAGTGTCCTTTAGATATGTTTTCTAATTTCCGGAATATTTAAAAGCAGACGGATCACCTGATGTTAAGCATTCGGCGTCACCCATGGACAACTGGAACACCAAAGGCATTGTTGGGGATTGAGAGATTGGGAAAGGGTAATTGGGCCTCTAGTAACCTCACTCGCACGACGATACAGGAGAAAATCCTAGTATGGGGTAACGTTTTTATCTTTTTTATTATAAATTGTAATCGCGAAACTGTCTCTTTGTCTGTTTTTCTTTTATTCCAATTTGAATCCTGCAGGTATAAAGCAAAGGCTCACTCCATATTACATGGGACCCATGACTAAAGAAAAGTCAGTGTTGTGATAATTATAGTATATTAATAAAATAATTGAGCAACAGGAACAGGAACTGACGAAAAGTGACAGACTCTTTCTGACGAAAAACCACCCCGGTCCCACCTACTTTGAGCCGGAGTCCTGAGTCCCGAGCCCGTAGCTGACTAAGTTGAATTCAAATTCTCGTGTTGAGCGTTCGTGATTAATAGAGCAAATCAAATAAATCCTACTATTATACATTAGTTTCTTTAATAAACAAGTAAGCAGAAAATAATGTTATCTACCTACTTCTAATAATATAATGTTATTGTGTTCGAAATCGTTTCATCTCAATAAACAACAGGTTCTACCAATATTTATGTCTCTTGCCACGCCCGAACCACATCGCAATCAAAATATAAGCTTAACGTGTTAGTCACTCCGATAGCGAGGGAGAGCTCCAATTGTTTTCTTTTTTTTTAAAGTGACATTGTATTAAGATTTTCTTTTGTTTCGTTGGCGTTTTTCAAAAATAATTTCAATTCGGTAGTAAAATAAATTGTTTCGACGTTTCAATGCAATAAATAATAAAACAATAATCATATTTTCATCTATTGATTTGACAATTTACCTACTTTTGGATTTTTTTTCGCTAATTGTAAGGAAATAAGTACGCTATTTGACGCAGAAATATGGTGACGTCACTGGTTGCGATCCAATACAAAAATTCATAGAAAAATATCGTTTTTAACATTTCAATAAAAGTATTGAATTTGACTAACTGTCAACATCGTATTCCGCAACACATGTATATTCGAAACAAGAGTTAGCAGATGGCAGATAATTATTACTCTTCCTACGGCAGTCAATCTTTAGTTACTTTAAAATGGAGGATAAAACAAGTTTAAAACTTACAAAAACAGCTAAACATTCAACAACTTTTACTACTTATTATTGAAAAATTCTAACCTCAATAATATTAAGTACAAATCTGATGTAGAAAAGAAAAATCAAACGATTTCTTGCAGCTGCCGATAGAAAGAAAGTTCGGAAGTTTGTCATGCCATAGTCCCCATGCTTGGCAGACGGCGTGGGGATCATAGAAATAGATAAGTGAAAACTTTAAAGACAGCCAGTCCAGTAGCAACGTATTAAAAAAAAACATTCCCCACATTTGGATTTTCTTGTGTCGTGGGTGCGTTTATAAACATACAAGTTCACATACACATCACACCCAGACCCGAAACAACAATTTGTGGAGTGTTGTTCCGTGCGCACACAAAGTGTTGTTCCGTGCGGTAATCGAACCGTGGCGAACCTAACGGGTAACCGGGGCTCCGGCTCGACGTGTAGGAGAAGGAACGGGGTGGTTTTTAGTCAGTAAGAGTCTGACACTCTCTCCCGCCTCACCCAGGCGGGAGCAGTCATTCGATTTTCAGCCCTTAAAAAAAAAACCCTCGACACGTTGTACGGCAGCCGGTTGCCCAGCCACCGCACCAACCGTGCACTCGATTTAGTTGTTAGTTGCAGTTTAAAGACTCTCAGGAATCTTAACCGATAATAATGATATAGAAGGGTGAATGACGTACGTTTTTCTCGTCCGCTCGTTCTAGCTAGCTGTGTGACTCGCACCTAATCCCGATATCGGAAAACGCAAACGATATTTCCACTGTTTGTGTTATTTCATCCCTTTTTGGTATCCTTGTTTATCTATTTATTTTGTCACTTGTGGTTTAATAATACGAAATCTGATTGAATTCCTTACATTGGGATTTTAAAGTAAAACGAGACAGAACGAATATTTCTATCTAAGAACAAATTAATTTTTTATCTCTGCCTCGCTGGCTAAGTGGTCGCAAGTGCGACTGTCGAGCAAGGGTGCTCGAGTTCGATTCCCGAGTCAGGAAAAGTATTATTGGATTTTTAAAAATTCTCAGTAGAGGCACGAAGCCTGGAAATATGTGCGCGTTGTATGGCAATAGGCTTACCCCCTATTACATGGGACTCATAACATAAATAGTGAAAATTGAGTGTTATATTGTGAAGTGGTATTAAGTAATATGCACCTCTGCCTAACCCTTCGGGGATAAAATGTTAGGTTAGTAATTTTTAAACCAATTTTTAACACAAGATTTTTTTTGGTGTAGTATTTTGGTGAGTATATACATACATACATAACATCACGCCTTTTATCCCCGAAGGGGTAGGCAGAGGTGCATATTATGCCACTGTACAATGTAATAAACTTGGTGAGTACCAAACTTACATAACATTATTATTTCTGACCCACATACAAAATATTTTTGCGTCTCGTGAGTCTTAATGTTGAATATGTATAAAACAAATCTATTCCCTTATGGCACACGGAACTAATAACTGGGTAGAAATATATATTATGTGATAAACAACTGACACCAGCAGGCGGTCAAGGAAAACACGGTTCATATAACGCTATTTTTTTCGTTCCGGGTCACTTAATCCCCAGTTTGTTCATAGTGAGAAAAACGATAGCAATAATGGAATGATTCTGTCTGTCAATCAATTTTCTACTAATGGGCAAACGTATTGAGTTGAGGAATACTAAAGTTATTTCATATATTCATAGTAAATATTTACACCATATCTGGCAAAAGGCCAGTGATTTGGTTGTAAATCGACAGACAACGTGATTTGTATTAATCATCTATATAATAAATATAACATTCATGTAAATAATTGTGTAGTATCTATAATAACAATTCCGATGTATTGGAATTATTGTTCCAACAGTATTTCAAATAATAGTGATACAGTAACGTTGGAGTAAGTAAGTTGACTGCGTCGTTGGCCGAGTGGTCGCAAGTGCGACTGCCGAGCAAGGGGCCCCGGGTTCGATTCTCTGGTCGGGCAAAGTATTACTGGGTTTTATAAAATCTCAGTAGTAGCACTGAGTCTAGAAATGTGCCCGGTATATGGCAATAGGCTCACCCCCTATTACATGGGACTCATAACATAAATAGTGAAAAATGGGTGTTACATTGTACAGTGGCATTAAGTGCCGAAATGTGCACCTCTGCCTAACCCTTCGGGGATATAAAGGCGTGAGGTTATGTTATGTTATGTGTTATAAAGTAATCAAGTACTGAACATATATTTTTTTAGTTAAAAGAGTAGTTGCTCATCCTTCTCCATTCGAATCTACATTTTGGAACGAGTAAATTCACTGACGCACAGACTAACAGACTAGTATTAGATAATTTTATATTTGTTGACGTGTCAAAAGTACCAAGTTATGGTTTAATTGAAATAAATACTTTGACTTAATTTGAACTAATTTGGTATCATGCATGCAGGCAGGCATGGTAATATCATTTTAAAGCAGTGAACTTTCGAACTGTAAGCCTCCTCCACATAAGAATCATAATCTCTAAGCTTGGGCAGGTTAGTCTCTATAAAATATGTAGTTTCTTATTAGTCGACTATTGATTGAAGAGTAGGGATGCCAGAGGACTTAGTACTGATAATTTCTATAAACCCAGTAATACTTTCCCGACCTGGAAATTGAACCCGAGACCCCTAGCCCAGCAGTCGCACTTGCAACGACTCAGCCAACGAGGCAGACATAATTAATTTCATAGAAAAAATATAATGAAAAACTCACGGATATAACAACGAGTGCATTGCCGACTGCGCCAATTACTACCAGAATCCCATAGAATGTGAGGAGTAATGCCCTCGTCGTGTCATCCACTTTCTTATTCTGGGAAAACTTTTCTAGGAGTACTGCTGGGTCCTGGACGCCTTTGGAAGCTTCTATCAGCCATTTGGCTGAGGCGTTGAGTGTGAGGTTGTGGTTGGGCTCCAGCCCCTGAAACAAAAGAAAAGCATATATTAAGAATTACGTCCATTTAATTAATACATGGGAGAACTATATTGAATGGCTCAGTATGACTAGAGCGATACCGCGGTTTGACAGAAACAATGTTTTGTTTCGCCGTGAGAGTGTGGTACATTCTTTGATGTTTACAGGATTTATTCCAAGATAAATTCTAAACTCAAATCCAATTGTTCTCGATAGATTTAATCAAAAATACTGCAAATTATTATGAAAAATGCTAAGTACTGTATTTGAATTTAAAACGTCTTTTCATATAATTAAGCAGCATCAAAAACCAGTAGAAGAACAATAAACTACGAACATGACAATATTGACATCATCATCATCATCAACAGCCTATAAGGGTCCACTGCTAAGCAAAGCCCCTTCTCACATAAAGAATAATTGAGCATTCATCACCACTACACCACCACATTCTTCACCGTTTATCAGTGGCTATAAACTATGAACATCTAGGATATTGGAATTAAAGATGAGGTCAATGCCTGATAAATACCGTAAACATACATGTAATAAACATCTTATTCTTTATAGAAAAACAAACGTTATGTAAGACTATAACCATCAAGAAACCTCTACACAATAAATAGAACGTCAATCTATTTGGTGGTCTTAAAATGGTGGCACATTTGCATACAAACGATAAGTGTCATATTCTGAATAACAGCTCTTCATATTGGGGACGGCCACAACAATAATATTAGGATATTGGTTTACTATGGGATCCTAGTACTGACTACCTCGATTGTGATATAGTATGTATGTTTTTCTCTCAAATAAGAAGTTCTCGGCTTTGATTGTAGAGTTAATTTAATTTTCTATTCTTGTTTTGCACATTTTTAAACATATATTTATATAAAAAATATTGTTATGTTTGCCAGCTATGTGGGCAGCGGAGGAGATTCAAATAACGTAACCAGTTAATAGACAAGTAGTTCATTAAAGGTTACAATGATATATTAAAACTAAGTACTTAAAATTAGCGTCCTAACGTCTCGATAAGGCTACAAAAGGCGTCTTGAGAAGTCGGCGAACGGTTTTTATAAATGATCAATTCGTGTTGCGCAATCTCGAAGAATGACTATTGTATAATGTTCCTGGTATCTGAGGGCTACCTCGGATATAACAGGCTAGCTCATGTAAATGTTTGACAAGAACCTCGATTAGTTTCAAACCAGGCTAGGGTCTGGTGGTGGCTGCGCGACGACGACATTCACCGCGTCGAGTGTCGTGCAACACTGCTCATGATTATGAGCCCTAGCATGGCTTTAAACTACTCAAGTTCTTCGACAAAGTTCTTCGGGTCTCGGGTTCGATTCCCGCTACGCATTCGTGGATCATTCGCCTGATGTGGACGCACCCTAATATGTTAAAGTACGACAGTGAATAAAATAATAGCATACATAGGAACACAGTCCGATTTGAATATTCCTTATACGCAACTTTTTATACGGACAACTCGAGTGTTCCTAATTTAAATAAATGTGTACAGAACGGCCCATGCAAATTTTTATATACCCAAGAATTGCTTTTTTCGAAGTTCTAGCAGTTAGTTTAAAAAAGGTTAGACTGAATTAAGTAGACGGATATTTGTGAGCAAATTTTGGAAAGGTCTACATATAGGGAAGATTAGAATCTCATTCTTAATATTTTTTGTCCAAAGTGGGTTATATCGTTCGAAGACTTTCGCCCTTAAAAAACTTTTTGTGAGTTTACACCATTTCAGGGCATCTAATAATATAGTTATGTGTCTTTTAAATAATAGTCCCGATTCACCGAATTCTACCCGGTGGTTTTTGGTAAACGACATTTTCTGGAAATTAAACCTAGCAAGATCGATTTATCACTTACAATACCCCTACATACAAAATTTAAACAAAATCGTAGGACTGAGATCGCTGGTACATACCTACATATAATTATGTATACAGGAATTGTTAGTTTAAATGTATTATTGTATTTTAAATACTTAATTTTTAGACTGTTTTATAAAGTCATTACGATGAGGGATATCTGATTTGCGTTAAGGTTCTTTATGATAATTTGATTTTATCTACCTCTACACCAGTTAGATAATAAAACATCTAATACAAAACCAAAATCCTCCAAAAGAGAAAACCAAATATAGTAACTTTCGTTAAACATAAGTGATTTTTGGGCTCACTTTTTCCTCTAAAACCAATAATAATGATTTAAACCTAACTCTAGGCCGATAAACATGAAAAAACCCCTATAACCCTTTTTTACATTTTATGGACTGACATTTGACCACTATCTCGCCTGGTGGCAAGCGATGATGCGGTCTATGATGGAGCACGTTGTCCCATAAGCAACTTATTCACTCGGCTTTGAAATCACCTAGGTTACCCTTTAGGAAACACAAAATCTAGCAAAGAATCCCTTTGCTTAATAGTACGCACAAGGAAGCTAAGAACCTTTGAGAAAATAAAAGTCTAATTACCTCACAACTTCAATAACTGCACTGCACATGACATATTTCTCGTCACGAAAAGCAATTAATTCTTTGCTCCACATAGTCGAGGTTTTCAACACTTTCAAAGACCTATTTCCTACTTCCCAAGTTATAGTGTCGTCTGATTGGCTAACAGTAATGCGTCTTCACGCTTCCCGTGGTACACCACCCACTTTTTGTGCTACCGAACAGTTACACCTTTTTTTATGGCATAAGCCGGTAAACGAGCATACGGATCACCTGATGGTAAGCAATCGGCGTTGCCCATGGACACCTGGAACACCAGAGGCGTCACAAGTGCGTTACCGGCCTTTTGGGGATTAGGAGTTTGAGGATCGTTGGGGATTCAGGGATTGGGGAGATTGGGGAAGGGGAGGGTAATTGGGCCTCCGGTAACCTCACTCACACGACGAAACACAACGCAAGCGTTGCTTCACGTCGGTTTTCCGTGAGGCCGGTAGAGCCGGCCCATTCGTGCCGAAGCATGGCTCTCCCACACTTGAACTTAAAAGAAATGAAGAAATGTTTTTCAATTTTCTTTCCTTACTTTGGTTGTAAAGCTGTCACGTCCCACAGTTGGGTGGTGGACCTTTGATTTCAAAGCTTTTCGATTTTGTGGTGAATTTGTTTCATTGTTCAAGTGAAGTTTTTTTTTTTTGAGGGTGACATTGAAAGAGGTACTCAAGTAGCTTGTTGAATGGTTATTTATGTGAAGGAATGTATAAACCACAGTTTATTGAAAATACGTAACAGGAAAGGTCAGCTTTAGAGGCTAATCTTGACCTTTTGGTTTATGTTAGTTATTTATTAGCAGAAGGCGAAACAAAAGGGACCAATAAGTGTGTTTTCGTCTTGTGAAAGTCTTACAGATTACGTATGCTTCTGAGAAATGACAGACCCTTATTGAAGTCTATCATTCATGTAATCATTTTTCGACATTGATCTAAAGATCAGTTTTATAACATAAAATCCGACCAATTCTACCCAAGTTAGTAGACCCATTTCCTTACTTTTTGTTCATAACTTTCTCTTAAAATCCAACAATATTCAAACAGTTAAGTCCAACTAACACCACATTCAAAATTAAACAGTTGAACTATATCAAAATTCCCAACAACATTTAAAGTAAATTCCCAAGTGGATTATTCGGTTGACGACCAAAGAGACTTGTGTAGATGAAAAAACTTCACTCCATAATGGTCTAAATTATTCAAACCGAATCCGAGGTCCCACAAAAAAGGGAATCACGTCTTTCAGTACAAAATTTTGAGGCTATTATATTTAATGGGTCCCATGCCGACTAAGGTTACGTAGGAAGGGAGTAAAGCGATTTGGATGAAAAATCCTCGACTGACTGATCCCATAATTATCGAGATGTCAGGTGGAAAAAAAGGTTCATGTCAGGTTGGTCGGAATGAGAGTAATTTGTTAGAATTAGAGCAATTATTGGGGTTTTTACTTGAAGCAAATGTCGAGGGATTTTAGCCGTGTTCTGAGGTAACGGAAAGTGCAATTTAAAATAAAGTAATGAAAGTCGTTTAGTTTTTGATTGCAGCTTTATGTTTCGTTGTCTAAAAAGTATTAATATTAGGCTTAATATCATTATGTCCTCACCATATTGGTCTTACATTTAATGTTGCCTGCGCCTCTGAAATTAAAATATAAATAATTCTACAATAGTTACATTTTTCACTGTATGTTTAGTAATGATCATACCATTTATTGCAAAGAGACTAAATAAAAACAAGCAAAAATATCATATAGGGACAATTAGGTTACCCTGCCTTTCGTGTAGTAGGTAACAATATCCTTCAAGTCTGTACCCAAGACCTAATAATATTATTTATTTCATCCATCTTAATTCTATTTTCATTTTCTTTGGCGATCTGACTGACTTGCTCACAAAGTCTGTCAGCCAATTCATCCAAATTGATTGGTTTAGGGACAGGAGCTCCTTCGTTTATTTTCTACAAATTCTTCGATAACTTGATCACTAGTTCATCTAGAATTCGTTGAAGAATACTGAAATTTAGTTTCGTCTGTTTATCAACCTTATCAAATCAAGTAGGCAAGAAATATTTTTGTGCTAGAATTTATTTGGTTGTTCATTTGTCGTCCGATAGTGGAATATTATTTATCAGGACAAAATATTTATCTACCTCGCTTTTTGCTTTTGTTTCTTTTTTTGCTTTGTCGTGGGGTGAATACAGTAGTACAATGTTTTCTTGTGTAAGAGGTCATAGGATTACAGTTATGTTACGTTTTGTTAGTTTCGATGCTATTAGACAGTTGGCTTATCTTTTTTAAAAAATGAGGTTTAAATTAATTTTAACTTAAAATAGACGAGTCAAAGTCGAAGTCATTTATTTGAATTAGACCAGGAAGGCACTTTTGAACGTCAACAACAAAAAATTTTGGTGAAGCTAGTTGCTTATTCCAAGGTGTAGATTCCTATATTACAAGAGACAAGTATTCCAACAATTACTTTCAGAGGCTG